GATGTTTGGCAGCAGCAGCAGCAGCAGCAGCAATCAATTATTTTTATATAAAATCAGGGGAAAGACTAACCTGGAAGTGGCAAAGGCGAGATGTTATCGGACTGTGCACTACAGACGCCGCTGCTGCTGCCAAAGTGATGGCCCGTGCCTCCCAGCAGCTCCTTTAACCCAGAAGAAGGTGTCGCTGATGTCGCTTCAAACGGTGATTGGCTGGTGGCACAGGGCAATGACGGTGATTGAGCCGTGCGGATGACTTACCACGTTCAGTGTCAGGAGCAAATCCTAGTCTTGCGGTTTCCCGGTAGTAGCCACCAGCACTCAGCAGAACGGGGGAAAAACTGGAAGTGGCAAAGGCGAGATGTTATCCGAGTGTGCAGTACTGACGCCGCTGCTGCTGCCAAAGACACTTATCACGACAGAAGTTTGCCAGGAAGCTGCTGTTTGTGAAATATTTGCGACAGAAACTTCCGGTCTCGAGCCGTCTCGAGATGCCTGCTGCAGACGTCTAACGCATGATGAACGCACATGAAATGACTGAAGTGTGCCGCCTTCAACAGTTTGCATCGTTTGATATGGTATTGATCTTGTATTTATTGGGAACGTGGCAGGTCTAAGAAAACTCGTCAGGTTTATAGAAAACTAATTGTATTTGCGTGCGATATGGGATACTGTCTGACAAATTATCATACGCATGGAGATTTGCTAAAAATACAGCGAGAGAAGCATCTGTTTACGACACCATATCAAAGGAGCGTCAGGCCCTCTTTTTGATTTAGCAGCTCACGTGCATTGTAATGAAGGAGCACTTATTTTGACTAACATGAACAGTTAGAGTCCCAAAGCTTAATTTGTCAGGCTCGCAATATGGGGAATTCGTGTTTCGTACCTGCCTGTAATCATCACTGAGAAAAAAATTCTGCTGATTCTTCAGTTTTCACTAAGACCCTAAATAGCGAAAAAGGTTGATAATATTATTGGGTAAGTTAAATAAATCCCTAACGGACAGTTCGTTTGATCACAGAAATGTGCACTGAGGAAACTTCCGTGTTGTCAGAACTCCTTGAAACGTGTGCTGGCCTGCACTTTGACGTTGATACACTTAACGTAGTTGTTGTACGTGATTCGGCTTTAGTGTTTTCCCTTCTCCTATCCTGCAAGAGCCTCCACGGGCAGGCGTTCATGCGCTCGCCCACCTCGAGCATCGATTAAAGCTGTGCACGGGCGCTCTTCACTTTGGAAATCCCACAGAAAGTTGACACCGAGGATTAAAGTTTCATCGCTCGTCAGCGTCTCAATTTAATGCAGTTGCATACTTCCTCAGAAGGAACCACTGAACCTGCGAGTCCATCATGTCTTCCATCAGCAAAGCAAAACCAATTGTGAAACTTTATTACGGGTTTTTATCGTCGCTTTATGGTACTGAGACGATAGTCCTCATGATTAGCTATTGAGAAGACACAATGCTTACAAAAAGTTATTTATTTTTTTATCAAACTATTTCGGAGCTCACTTCGAGCATCCATGCATTTGTCCATGACAACGGCCCTAGTAACAGTTTGTTTGGAGTGCCATGCTGTGATGTCAGCATTTAGAGGGTCAGTTATATTTTATTTATTTACAATACTACAATTGCAAAATGATTAAGGATGTGCTACAGTTAGTCGACGTCACCAGGTGAAGTGTCGCAGAAGTTAGGTGGCTGCGTACTGAAAGACACGTTTTCTGCTCATTCGCCGAAGGAGTTCTCGAAAACCCAGTGTAAACGGTCGTAGCTGCCTTTGAGAACCCGTGGAAATTTTTACGAAAGAGCAGCACAGCACGAAAAAGGCACAACTCGTCGAACGCAAGTCTCGCGGTCAGGTGGTGTGATAAAGAACATGCCTAGGTATGACGAGTGCTGTGTCTGCCTTCACATGCTAGGATACTGATAGAGACTCAGTGCCATGTTAAACTGTCTGGAAAAATGCGCGAGACATGCAGGAGGTGTATGTGCCTCTGGAGCAGCATTTCACTTCACTTCAACGACTGTATTCATAACTTGTGTCACTCGTGGGCCAGAAATGAGTTTGCCCGAGTGGTGTTCAAAAACCTACCTCCTGTCCAGCGCTGCTCCACTCCGTTGCTGTATGTGTGTTGCCATGTGACGTAATTCAGATCCATCCATTGCTGCAGATTTCGAACGTAGCCATGGTTGATAGTAGTGATGGACCGAATCCGCCGAACTTCAGATTCGGCAAAGTTAACATGCCAAACTTTTGAAGGAAAGTTCGGCAAACGCCTGCGCACGCACGAGAACGCGATGGTGTTACAGGGCCATGAATTGCAAATGGACGCTGTGTGGTCGCCATCTTACAGTGTAGTACTACCAGCTGTTACATCGAGGTGCAGAGTATATGGTAACTGTGTGTTTGTCAGGCTTCGTGAGTGTGGTTCTTTTCAATATCTTCTGCCTCAAGAACAGAAGATCGACCAGGAATTGAAGCAGTCCACTGCGCAAGTGACAAATAACGCGGTACATTCTGGATAACATGATTTTCATTTGATATATCCAATGATGCACGGGGTAGTTGCAACATTTACAAGTAATTCAAAGCACTTCTCGCCATTATAGCAATCCTGTTCTCGGCTCACAAGTAGTTTGTGCCAAAACAAAATATCATTGCGTTTTAATTGACATTATTTTGCAGTTTTCATTTGTCTGCATAAAACAAAATACAGAACTATCATGCTCGACTTTGCACATCTGACATTCCTAACTCTTAAATGACCCCGTGTGTCATAATATCAGAAACCGCAATTTTAAAAGTTAAAAACGAGACGTCGCGAATATGAGATGCACACTTTGATGCAAAGCTGAAGTGACTCAAATTCGAGAAAAAAAAACATGCACGTTTACAATAACATTGTTATCTCTTCTAGTGAAGGCTCAGCAGCCGTTGCATTCGTTTTATTGCTTGGAACTGTTGACCCGCAAAGAAAGTAGGAACCCTTGGACTAGGGACGTGCTCCCTCTGCACCTGCCAAATCCCTACTGAGCTCGAGATGAGGAGCCTCGCTTCTTATAATAAGACACCCCCTCTCCCCCGCCGCCATGCCCTCAGCCAATCGCAGAAGCGAATGGGAGGAGTGTGTGAGGAAGACGTGAGGGCATGTCGGGCGGGGTTGAGACCCGTCGGGATCCACCTGGCACGCAGATGGTCTTTTATTGTGAGGAAAGAAAAAGTAACACACAGCTCCCAAGGCAGAGAACGTATGTGCCCCGCTGTAATGCCCTTCCGAAGGGCGAGATTGTCCGTGTTGATCAACGTTGACGGCGGCGCCAGGAGTGCAGCTAGAAGCCAAGCCAAGGCTTCACGTAGGAAGATCTTCCGGCTGGGATTCGTGATGATAGCGAGGGCGGCATCGGATGTCACTACACCCAGTCCTGTTGAGGATGCGTCGGCGAACATGGTGTGCACAGGAGGGGTGGGGACGAGCGGCACCACATGGGGAAGTCTGTTCCATATTGTTTTAAACACAACACACCACTGGAGGAGGGGGGGTGTCCAGTCTGGGCAGCGTCAAAAAGAGGACGTAGTGTGTGGTACCCGGCTCGGTACAACGAGAAATAAAAACACCAAAGCCCTGCTAACTTCTGGTAGCGGGTGAGTGGCTGGGGGGTCTCAAGAAGTTGGAGAGTGTCCCCTAGGGACCGGACGCGCTGTGGGGTATGAGAGAGCGTCTGAGTCAGAGTGCTTATGGTGAAGCCAAGAAAACGAATCTCTCGCGTAGGGAGAGTGACGGTGTCGCGGGGGTTTATGCAAAACCTGCATGCATGAAGTTGTTCAAGGAAATGGGCTGTAGCCTGGGACAAAAACACAGGATCGCTGTGTGCTAAAAGAAAGTTGTCTATGTAGGCCCAAGCCCACAGGCCCTGGGCGCGCAGCGTTCTAGCCATGGCCGTGGCGAGGGATTGCATCAAGAAAGGCGCTGGCCTAACTCCAAATGGGAGTCTGGTGAATGAGTAATAAACTCCGTCAAACCTGAAGGTGGTTAGCCTTTGAGCCTGCGGATGCAGGGAAATGTGATAAAAGGCCTCCGCCAGGTCCACCTTCACAAAGTATGCATTTGGTGGAAGGGGGACCTGGAGGAGGACTTTAGGGAGAGGGTCAAGGCGAAACGAGGGTGCCTGAAGGTGAGGCGTAAGATGACTGGCATCCAACACAAATCTAGACTCGGTGGTAGACTTGGGGGCCAACTGGATTGGGCGAAGGAAGGGACCCCTCTTATTGACTCGGATGAGTCCGGATGCTTTCATGGAAGCTACTGCGTCCCGAAGAACGGGTATTTGCTCGGGTGCGGGAGGATGGTTAATCACCACTGATGCAGCTGAACAGTTCAAACGAAGATTCCCATAATCCGCAGGCGGATAAAACGAGAAAGTTTGGGCTGCCTTCTCCCAGTCCACGGAAGGGGGGGGAGGATCGGTCGGACCGGTTGCCACTGACGGGGGGGCAAAAAAGATGGGCGCGCGAGAATCATCGTCGTCCGCGACATCCTCGTCCTGGGAACCAGGCTCATTGGGTGTCGGGTGGCTATCAAGCCACCTAAGAATACGGTCGGCGGCGGCCGCCCAAGAGTCATCCTCGTCCTCCGTAGAGGAGTCTGAGGAACTGTGAGGAGACTCAAGGTCCGAAGGAGGAGTGAGCAAAATGTTAGCAGAGCGCAGGGCCTGCAGCAGTATGTCTGGGGGTTGGACTATATCCTGGACGAATGCAAGTATCTGCTGGTCGTCGACCGCTACAAGAATGGGTTGGGGATCTTTGAGTACAATGCCTAAGTTGGACACGACGCGATCCGCAAGGTGAAGGCTGGGTGGCGAAGCCACCTCAAAGGGCAGACTCACCGGAGTGACGGATGGCGGCGGAGTCTTAGATGATGGGAGCGGAGCGTAGTCCTGAGATCCCCACAAGGGGAGTCTGTCGAAAAGTTTCTCTGACGAGGGAGGAGGGAGGGTGCGCACTGGCGATGCGAAGAGTCTATACCTGGGGCTCCGTGTCCTTGGCGACCTTCGGGGGAGGTCGGCCTCATCTGAGGTCGGCCTCATCTGCCTCTGGGTGCGACGGCTGCTCCTCTTCCTCTGGCTGAGAATCGGCTGGAGTGATCCGCTGCGGCGGACTGGGGTGGAGGTGGGAGCGGTGCTCCGAGGAGGAAGGATGCACTCGGGTCAGCGTAACCTTGGAGAGCGGTTTGCCAACCGGACAGGGCGACGTGGTAGAGTAACCGGATCCGGTCAAAAATGCGCAACTTGGCTGATGCTCTGAGTGGTGGCTGGCTGTCCCACACTTGCAAAAAGTTTTCCAACAGTCGCACCTCCACGACGTCACGGGTGCCGAAGAAACGGGAGGATCGGCTGGCTCGGTCGACAAAAAGTAGGGCGTTGCGGAAGTCACGGCGTGTAGGCGGGTCGGCCGTCGTAAAGAGCCGTTGCCCTCTGGAGCCGGTTGGCTCTCTGCGGTGGCGAATGCGTCTTGAGTACTCGTCCCGGCGCCTGTCCGGGATGCTGTCGGGCTCTGAGTCGGAGTCATCCGAGTCTGAATCGGGGAAGCGGGCACGATATCTACCGGGGTGGTCCTGGCTGGTCGGGAAGTGGTTAGGGATAGGCTCCTCGTCATCGGACGTGGCATCTGCGAGATGCTGTGCCACCGGGGTGTCCATACACACTTGCAGGCTTGCGCTGATGAGGACTCAAAAATGAAGCTCGCGTATTGGGACTGCGCCCGCTATTCCGCTTCTACCCAACCTCGTTGTCACACCACTTCTGCAAAAAGTAAATGTAAAATTGCCTCTAAACACACAAAAATGGCCGATACGGTTATCTTGTAGAATATCACCTTATTTAATAACAACTGTGTAAATATGCATTAAAGAAAAGTAATTTCTCCTGAAAAAACAAAATATTAGTTTTTAGGTCTGGCGACAATGTATCTTTGCCGAATCCTTAGAAAAGTTTGGCGAAAATTCAGCTGTGCTGAATTCTGAGATTCGGCGTTGAATTTTCGATTTGGCAAAAGTTTGGTTAATCACTAGTTGATAGTACACGAAAGCAACCACGGACTTTTTTTTTTATTTACTAATAACAGTTACTGATCAGGGATAGCGACTCGCCAGAACAGCTGGGCGATCCAGAACTTTGTAAAGACGTGTACACGCAATACAGCTTCAAAGCTTTCCCGAGGGGTCCAGACGGTGTCGATTCTTGATCGGCATCCAGGCGTTCGAAGGCACAAAGACTCGGCGTGCAAAGGCGCATGTGCTTTGGTCACGCTGCCTGATTGCTAACTTGCGTTCGACGAGTTGAGCATTTTCCTGCGGTGCTGCGCTTTCGTAAAAACTTCCACGGGTTTCAAAGGCAGCTGCCAGCGTTTACACAGGATTTTCACAACCTTCCTCGGTGAATGACGACGAACGAGCAGAAAACGGGTCTTTCAGCCTCTGCAACGCTTTACCCGGTAGATTTTACGCAGGCCCAAGATAGCCGATTAAGAACTTCCGGTGGCCACATTTGCAGAGCGGGGAAGTGAGATTCAGCAAATTGTCACAGAGATCAATAGATAGTAGAGTTTATGGCGATTTGCAGTAAATGATTCCATTCATTAATGGTTTGGGGGAAGAAAACAAAATTTAAAGCAATATTAATACAAAAATAGTTTTTCACACATACAAAGAAAAGTTTTTCAAACCACAAACATTTCGCAAAAGCATAATATACATACAGGAATTTTGTATGTTTGATTATATATATAACGGTGTCTCGTACAATCATTGTACGAGACACCGTTACGGTCATTGTATGGATCGTACAATGACTGTCCGTGTCATAATTTTGATATTTCTGTAATAAATAAATGTGAAAGCCATGTTCTTGGGAGGAACATTCAGCTACATGTGAACGCCATAGGTAAATTTTTTCCAGATATAAAATTGAGAAGCTTTAGGCGTGAACATTGCCGAGATTTCACTACGGTAATTTATATTCCTGCCAATGTCACACTAAAGGAGGCACATAGTTTAAAAAAAAAAAATTTCATTTATTTTATAGATAATTTAGAACATGCACACCAAATATAATTTTTTCCAGATATAAAATTGAGAAGCTTTAGGCGTGAACATTGCCGAGATTTCACTACGGTAATTTGGATTTCTGCCAATGTCACACTAAAGCAGGCACATAGTTTAAAAAAAAAATTTCATTTATTTTATAGATAATTTAGAACATGCACACCAAATATAAAAAATTACAACTATATTTCTATGGAGAAAAAAAATTACGGAACACGTACAAAAACACTTTCAGCCTTTCCACTCTCGTGAAGAAGGAAGAGCAGCGGAGCTGTAGCTTCTGTTCTCAGTGGTGGCTTTCCAGGCGAGCGATCTGCTCTTCTTTCACAAGGAAATCTGAAGCGCTCGACGAAGTGGAACTTTAGGCGATAGCGGCTTCGCGGCGGTTGCAGAACCATTTGCGCTGCTGCCAAGTCGCCGCTCGTTCTGTTCCCGCTCTTCTTCCTCCGAACAAAGGTTGCCACCGTCGCTCATAGATGGCGGAAGCTGTCCAGAGCTCGGTGTCATCCTTTCTAATCTGGCGGACACGATCCTGGGGAAACTAGCCCTTAACAGCTCCGCTGTAAAAACATGTTTTAGAGACACTTTCACAAATTATTTACCAACAAGCAACTTTATGCCAAATGTCACAAAATATATAAAAATGTGCGGCTTGGAATGGAGCTTACGAGTACATAAAACAATATTTGCTTAGCCATCATTGTAGTTTCGTTATTAGTGCAGAAACGTCTAAGTCATTTCTCTAAAAGTAGCCAAATGCAAATGGAATGGAATCCATGTTGGTATCAAGTAAAAAAGGTAGTTAACCCAACATGATTAACAATATTTGTATATATAATGTGTTCAAGTAATTTTGGACAAGCACTGGTTAGAGATATTGGCCTGTAATTTGAAACATAGTGTTTAAGCCCTCCCTTATGAATGGGTACAACATTAGCTGTCTTCCTCTCACATGGAAGCCTGCTTGAGAAGAAAGATTTGTTAAATAAAATAACCACACTCGGCATCAACGATTATGTGCTACGCTGTCAAGGCCAGCGTAGCCTTAGCAGTGCTCCAACGTTGTCGAAGCCACCTGTGCGAGAAAAGGCTTCGTTTGGCGTCTCCAACTGCAGCGTTGTTGAAGCTATGCTAGCCTTCACAACGCAGCACAAAATATTTGAGCTTAAAAAGGGTGTGATCACTGAAGCACACATTTTTAGCGCATGGTTTGGATTTTCATCGGGTCGTGTGGCTGAATGAGATTCCACATTACAAAGAAGTTTATATACCCCATTATCCTAAATAACCAATTCTGGCATTCTCAGCTGTACTGGAAAAAACAGATTGAACAAATAGAATTTTCCAAGTCATCCAAAGTCAGTTCATTGTTGTTAAGAATGGCTGCTATGCATACGCATTCATTATTGCCGAATTTTTTTCAACGAGTTTCTATAATTCTTTTGGGTTTTTAATCAATCTAGGACCTAGAGTAAAAAAGAAATGCAGTTCCGCTTTTTTAATTTTCTTTTTAAAATCGTAATTGAGGCATCTGAGCTCGCACCTTGTTACCGGGTTGTTCTTGTTTTTCTATACTTTTGAAGTGAATTTCACTTTTTATTAAAGAGGCTTTCAGACGACGTCACGTGATTTCGATTTCCCGGCTATATTTATCGGTGAAATGCACAGATGGACGAATAGACAAATTTCTGGGATTAGGCGGGTTCCGTTCAAAAGAATTTTGTTGCCCACCCCGGTTAGAAGACGACGAAAGCAAGGGCAGAGCTCGGACATTCTCGTCGTGGCGGGCTTCAGGCTGTTTTGTGACAGTCTATATTCGTCACTTCTCTTCGTGTGTGCTTAGCTGAGCAAACCCATCTATCACAAAGCACATTTCACGCTTGGATAACGTAGGGCCGCTTCCGCGGTGTGCGCAGGAGTGCCGAGGACGCCGTTTGGGCAACGAGGATGCGGCTGTGCCAGCAGGGCCTGCCGCTGCTGCTGCTGACGACGCAGCGTGGCGCCCCCTGGCTGGGGCGCCTGGAGTCCCCCTGCACCCGGTCCCTGCCACCCTGCCTGGACTTCCCCGCCAGGCACATGTCGACCAGTGAGTCCCACTATTGTTGCAGCGGCGCTGAACGTTTGGCCGGGTTACACATTTGCGTTTGAGTAGGACTAAGTATGTTGTGCCTCCTTGTGACCATTTACATTAAGAGAATGGATGAATGGATGTGGCAGAACCTTTTTAACCCTTTGACTGTCGAGTTCTGTTTTCTAAAAGATGTTTCCCAGTGGTCGGATTTTGTTTCGAAAGGAATAGTACAAAGAAAGGGTCAATGCGTAGATGTTTAAAGCATGAAATGCTTTTGAATGAAACCCCCCAACCTCAAAATTTTTTCTGTCTGTGTGTGCATTTCCTGCTAAATTTAGTGGCGAAACTCAATTGGTGCTCAGGTCGCGTGATGTCAGTTGATGTCACGTGACCTGTACACCAATTTAGTTTCCTTGCTAAATGCGGTGGGAAATTCGATGTCACGTGATCTGACGTGATGAGACGTATACACCAATTTAGTTTTGTCACATATTTTATACACTAAGTCGGCTTGCCCGCTATGTTTTGCTAGGGAAATTGACGTCACATGACCTATACGGCGATTCAGGTTTTCCGCTAAATTTAGTGGGGAAATATATGCCACATGACCTATGCACCCAGTTTCCCCGCTTAATGTAGCAAGGAACTTGTTCTTCGCTCCCAAGATGACAGTTTAATGTCTTCTACATCATTTTTACCAACTACACCTTAAAGGCCTGTACACACTCTTACGACCCAGTACGACTGAGAGAGACGAGATCTCTTAAAAACTTCTTAAATGTTTTTAGAATGAGGGAACGCACTGACATTGTGGCGCCATCTATGCGGTGACCCTGGAACTGCATTTCACAAGAGCGAAGGTTTTGCGGGATTTCTGAGGTCAAATGTGCGTAATACCCATAGAAAGGCCCATTTATAACATTCACAAAAGTTTTTCCAGCCAAGAAAGAAAGGATAATGCGCGAGAAATAAAACAAATATGCCGGACCGCCGAGTTTACACTGCTTCCCAATAGATGGCGCAGGTGTGTTATCTGGTTTAAGAAGTTTTAAGGAACCCAGGCTTAAGAGGTCGCAAGAGTGTGAATGGGCCTTTAAGGACCACTAAAAAGAAAAAATGTTTTTTTGAAACAGTTTAGTTAGCATGTCAAAAAATTAATTTTACGCGGAAAAAAAAAAAAGAAAAAGCGAGACGTGATTTAGTTGGTAGTTACCTCCTTTCCACTTGTTTTCTCTCGGCATTTCGGGCGCGTGGGTGAGAGGTGAAGCGGCTTCGCCTTCACTTTGAAGTGGAAAGAGCGAATTACCATCTCGTTGAGTGAATGACCATTCTGTGACGTCATGGACTTTGTGCACAGAATTTTGAATAAATGTCTCACCGTCAATATTGCTCCAATTTTTTTTTTTCGCGTAAAATTAATTTCTTAACACGCGTGTCCCACCCAAACTGTATAAAAAAAAAAATTTTTTTTTTCTTTTCAGGGTTTTTTAAATACTGCATTTCATGCATTTGTGGACTTTGGAAATGCATGGCTTGCATTGACGTCACGTCAGCCGCCATTCCTCTGTACCATGTTCCTGTATCTGTACCTTTTGCACCACACATTTGGCATCATCGAACCT